AGAATAATTTGCAATCTCTTAAGTACTTAGATGCCTTCAAAAAGAGGGATAATCAACTTTCTATGAAGAAAGATCAAGCTTTAGTATTAATAAGAAGACAAACTTGACAATCTATAATAAATACATTATATAGAAAATCAAACAAGAAGTCAAATATCAGAGTTTCAACAAAAAAGTTTGTAAGAACTTAATTAAATCAGATGAGTACAAGATCAATATTAAGAGAGGTGAGCTAGAGCTTCAAAATATGTGTTTTCAAGATTGAAGATCTTCTCAACTTTGATTCTAATATATACTAGGTATTACAAAGCTTCTCAAAAAAAAATCATGTTGCTTAGAAACAAAGAAATCCTAAAAAACTTCTTGAGAAGTTTCTATATTGCTTGAGACAAAACAACCCTAGGAAGCTTCTTAGACAACTTCTTTAATCCTCTTAGAACTTTCTAAAATCTATGAAAATATTTTGAAAACCTTTTGGAATTTTTTAGAATATTCTAAGAATTATTTTAGAATCTTCTTTTATAATATATTTAAAAACTTCTAAAATCTTATATTAGAATATTTTAAAAATCTCATAAAATCCTCTATAATAGAATAGAATATTCTAAAAATATTTTAAAAATCTTCTTATTGAATGCATATAACATCTATTTATACATTTGACTTGAAAAGATAAGCTAAGTAGAATAAAAAAATATTGAAGCAACTTTTGAAGTATTAAAGACTATTCTATTTTCTATACCAATCTTAAATTATGTTGATTTTTTAAAGATATTTTTTATAGAACAAATACATGGGACTTTGCCTTGTGTGTGGTGTTTTTACAAATAGGAGCATGGGACAAATTTCACCTAATAGCTTTTCATTCAAACTATTTTTTTACATTTGAAATGAACTATAAGATCTACATCAACGAACTTCTTACAATTGTATATAGACTTCAAGAATGGTACCATTATTTAGAAAGCACTTTTATTCTAATAAAAATTTCTTAATTATACATTATTTGGGATATAAAAAGACGTTGGAAATAATATTAAGAGTTTTTTTTGTGGCTTCAAATGTAAAAGGCAGTTAAGAACTTTGAATAATCATATGATGTTTTTTTAAGATCAAAAACTCCTTATCATTAGCCTTATAGACTTTTTCAACCACTATCTATATCAAAACAACTATGGTCTTATATTTCTATGAATTTTATCACAAATCTTTTAATTTAAAATTCTTATGATTTTATGATTATGATATTAGATTATTTCAATAAAATAGTATATTTTATACTATATAAATAAAAATTATCACAAGTAAATAAACAAATAAATTTTTCTTAGATAATATTTATCACTTTCATGGATTGTTAAGAGATATTATTTTGGATTCAATTTGTATCTAAGTTTAGGAATTTTTTTTAAGATATTAAAAATAGACATAAAAAAATCTTTATTTTTTTATCTTTAAATTAATGAAAAAAAAAAATGAATGAATTAAGTTTTCAATAGTATTTGAAATGTTTCATCAATTGCCATCAAAATGATTAGAAAACTCTTTTGCCATTAATAAATTTTTTTGTATTAATATAATAAATTCTTTAATTTAAAAAATATATTTTTATGCTAATTATAATTATTACCCATAAATCAATACTTTTCAATTTTTAAAAGTTAATAATCCATTGGAAGAAGATTTTGTAATTTTTTTTATCAAAGCTGTATATAATATAAAGGGCACAATCAAAAGAAGCTCAACAATAATATAAAATCAATGTAAATATATGTTATGAGAAATAACCTCAATTCACCATTTGCAAGAAGATATGGTGATTTTATCAAAATATCAAATCTATTTGTCGTTTTCATAATTTGAATTATTATAAATTAAAATTATTTCAAATTTGTAAATAAATCAATAATGTTGCTTATTGATTAGACCTATTAGAATCTATAAAGATTTATTTCATATTTTAAATGTCTTTTTTTGACCTATAAAAGATAAAAGATGTACTAGAAAGAAGACAAATATATATATATATATATATATATATGTATATAGAAATAAATAATAATTAAGAATATAAGGTCAAAGAAGTTTTAGTCTAAAGGTGGTAAAAAAATATGTTTGAATATCTTGTATATTGACGTAGATATGATATTTGTGAATGCACATGAGAGTTGTAAATGAATCTTGCATATGCAACAAAAAAAGTTGATACTTTTTATTTACAATATTTTTCAAAAATTAATATGAAGAATTGAGTAATTTTTTGTCATAAAGTAAATTAGGTTCAATAAAGATTGCATGCTATTACTTATCATTGTTTATAGTTTTTATATATTTATGGCATAAAAGAGATAGAGAATCAATAATCAATAGATTTTATTCAAGAATTATCATTTGTTTACTTATTAGATAAGGGATTGAGATTGTTACAACCTTCAAGACAATGTAATAGAAATAAAGAACCTCAAAAATTGGATGTTCTTTTTAAATAGATGGTGAGATAAAACATGTGTAAAAACATGATTTTGGAAGAAACTTTCAAACTTTGGTGAGATTATTGGAGGTAAAAACCACCTTTGATGGTGTTTCAAATAATTTATTTTTAAAAAGTTAAGAAGGGCTTAATAATGATCAAATAAAATTGTGGTCTTCATGCATTAATATAAGACACTATCAATGGCTCAAAAGACTTATGAACTATCTTAAAAAAAACAAAGATTAAAGTATGTAGAAAATATAATTTATTGCATCTTTGACTTCTTCAACATGTGGTTATTGATCCTCATAGAACTTGCCCCTAAAAAAGAGAGCAATAACTTGAATATACATACTTATCTAGAGTTATAAGAATTGGGTAGAAATATGTAAAAATAGATTAATTTGATAATATCTTGTAGAGAAGCTTTTTTGAAGGTTAATAGATGGAGATTTGATTTTATACATGTCTGTAAGTGATTGATAGGTTGAAAACTTGGCTAATAAATTGTCTACTTGTGATAGAAGTTTGCTATGTGGTATACATATAAAACTTGTCTTACAAGTTAGACATAAGAATTATTTTAAAACAATTTATTATATAAACTAAAAAAAACTTAGATAAGTTGTAATTAGTTGTGGTAAGGTTAAATTTTTAATCCAAAAACATAAACTGTATGTTTTTAATGCTGAAACATGTTAAATTATCACATTGCAAAACATTAGCATTGGTAACATGTAGTATGTAAACTAGTTTTTATGCTGCAGAATTTCACACAAAAATCCAACTTTTAACATATAAATAAATAAAGATTAGCTGGGATTTCCAAGAACACGCTGGGCAAGTGTCACCTGCATGTGCCCAGTCACGATCAAGTGGCAGCCACGTGGCCATATTTGGGCACCAAGCAATGGAGCAACGGTGCAACAGTGAGTCAATCCGGGTGGAAGCCACGCGCAGATTCAGTCTCAAGCTTCGATACGCATCGGTCTTAATGCGCTTCAGTTGTTGCCCTCTTCGATACGCGACTAACGAGCCATCAGAACAGCAGCGCTGCGCAGAATTCCTGCCACTCGCCTGGAATGGTGGGCGAAATCGATGAGGGAGAAGGTCGCGTCCTGGTGGTTGCTGGTTGCGGGCCATGATCATGTGGCATGTGTGACACTAGCAGTGAGCGTGGAAGTCAAGTGGAGGGTGCGGGATTTCACTCTAGAGTAGAAACTGAAGCGGCAGGTTGTAGTCTCGATGCGCATCGAACCTCGCGCATGGTGCACGTGGAGATCGGAGCCGCGCCGGAGCAGATCGGCAGTGGATGCTGTCTTTGTTCGACGTTCTGGGATGGAGGATCGTGGAGGACGGGGTTGTTTGTCTCCTCAGCTCTGTGAAAGGGGAGCTGGAACTACATTGAACTGCAGAAGTTGAGTTGACGGCTCGAGAAGGCGTGTGTATAAGTCCACTAATTTTTTTTTCTGACCACCGGGTGGAATTTGCTATTTACAGCTTTTACGTAGATGAACTGATGCTGAGTTCATCAGAACTTACATCTGGTTTTCTTCGAATTTTTATCGAAACAGTTCTTCGTTTTTCTTCTGATCCAGGATCATGATCACTAGGAGGATGATTGCAAAGTGTATTGAACACCTATAGTAACTTAAATCCTTCAAAGACAACTAAATTGTCGCCAGGAGTAAATTACAAATGCTGCATTCTCAGCATCCTGGCAGAGCTGATGCTGGCTAGATCATACCCCTAGCGGTTACAATGCTGCAAAACGAAGTCTCTAAAATGTGCATTGGATTCTCGCTGTAAGATAACTGCACGCAGCGACATATGTGCGATAGATCTCCGAGTAGAAATTTGTAAGGGACAGGACAAATATCTCACAACTGGTCTCTACCAGCAGCGAATCTGCACATTCTTGTGTTTCGGTGTCTTGTTTAGGGCCAATTGTGACACGAGCCGGAAGATCAACAATTCCAACAGGTTGATCTACATCATGAGCTTTCGCAGGCGTTTTAACGATGCGGCTACTCATCTCCTGGATTCAAACATGAGTTTAACGAACAAGAATAGTGTACGATGGAGTTTGAGCAACAAGTTGGCGATCAAGGTTTTGTACTGTTCCGGTTACGGTGATACCATGGATCGAGTATTGGAGAGGTAATGGACATTGCACCTCTGCTTGCACAAAGATTCCAGAAAGTTTCGAAATATGCACTCCAGATGGGTATTTGGTGGGGTTGCAGAGAAGGAGGAAAATCAATTCAGGAACCACTTCAGAAAAATGAATAAATAAAAGTGACGAAGTTAATCAGGGTGTAAGTTTAGAACGCCGCACTTTGCATTAATGCGAAAGCCGCACAAGTAATACGTATCCAAATCCACAAAGCTCCACTTGTCGGCAATGTTGTGACCCCAGGATGCCGCCACATGCTCGTCTATGGATTCGTGTTTCACTCCCCTCTGCGCCACATGGCAACTCAACGTGTCGAACCCCTACATCTCCAGAATTTCCTATAAGAAGATGCTTGGTCATTGAAATGCGTAACTTTCAGTTGCAGCATTTCATATTACCCACTAATTGCGCATCGATTAAGCAATTGTATTAGATTCACGATTTCTCGTTATCATCTTCATCGTAACCGCGCTTTCGCATCGTCTCTGTAACCATGTCGAGCAAGCAGGAGCTGGACAGCCGCGCCGCCGCTGGTGAGACTGTGGTGCCAGGAGAACTAGTGGCAAGAGCTTGGAGGCACAGCAGAATCTCGCTGAGGGTAAGTTGTCTTCAGGAAACAAAGCAGTAGGTCCAGAGTATTAGCATCGCTTCGACACCTAGCCTTGGACCTCATTGACAACCAGTTGCCTAATGACATGGGTGGTCGCGACAATGTGCAGGGCGGAGCAAGGGAGGCCAGACTCGCGCCGAGCAGCTGGGTCACGACGGCTACGTCGAGATGGGCAAGAAGGGCGGGTCTGCCACGAATGAAATGTCCGGCGGCGAAGCCGCGGAGGCTGCCGGTGCGAGATCGACGAGACCAAGTTTACAAATCAGTAGTCACTTTTTAGTGCCACGCGCATGTGCGCACTATCATTCATGAAGCAAGGTAGACAATGCGACACGTCGTAAAAACGCACTCTGTACATGGTGTTTGTGATGTAAATAAACATACGGGGCGCAGTATTGCTTCATGCATTTCGTTTCAGATTCCACTTCTGCCTACATCATGCATTCTCTCCCATTTCGTTCCATTGCTAATAACCCTCTCCTGATCTCATTAATGCCTCTGGTTTGGCTCCATCGTCTCCTTCCAATTCGCAGCACAGTCGTAGTGTCGGTGGACGATCGATTGCCGTTATACAGTTAGCGATATGACTGAACTGTATGAACTGTCGGTGCTACAATGTTTCTGGATTTTTGGTATGGAAAACTGGGAGGAAACTTGTGTGCATGTTAACCTTCGTTTTTTTCTTTTTGCTGAACAATGTACGTGGCAAATTTGAGTACAGATGAGCTGATCTCAAATCAGTTTTAAAATGAATATTGAAGTGTCACATTGATATGTTATGGATGAAGAAATGATATCTTCCCCTGTAAGCTACAGAAATATTTGTAGATTATATATAATGCATTAAAACGCCTTCAAATTAGTTTTGTGTTTGACTTTTATAACTATAATTTGAAAATCGTGCGGCATGGTGTTGATACCTTCAAATATGTTTCCCGATACTTGTCAAATAGTATTATATTAAGTAATGTTTATACAATACTCAGTGTTGTCTGTCACTTCACACAAGCCAAAGTACTCATCAGAACAGATATGTGTAATTTTACATATATGTGAATGCTTTTTAGACAGATTTCACTGTGCTACGACCATGGAATCTCCTTAAAAATGAAATATTAAATGAAATAATTAAATGAGTATTAGATGTATGATAGAAATATTAGAAATTGTGTTGGATAATAATTTTTACAATTTTAATGAATTTCTTTTGTTTCTTTTTTTGAAATTTTAAAGTCACATTAAATATAAAAAACTTAAATGTAATTTCAAAGAAATAATTTAGAAATAATAAGTTTTCTAATTTTACAGCTGATACACTAGTTTTATTTATCCAATATACATAATTTTTGTAAAAAATAAAATGTAGATAAATCAAGATATATATATATATATATATATATATTATTTTATAATTTTTTTATTTAAGTATTAAGAAACGATTTAATATTTGAAGAATTAGTATTTTAGTAATACATTGATTGTTTAATATACTCTTGACTAATAATTTCTATCTATTCATACTTGTATATCATTTACAATTTGTATTTCGTCTTGTTTATCATTAAATATGGTTTATAGTAGCTATTAGCATTCTTGTAGTAATTATTTTGTATTTTTTTTCTTAAGAAGATTTCTACCTTTATAAAATATATTTATAGATTAGATTGTGGATTTTTGTTTTGTATCTATAAAATTCATAGAATGGCAAGAACTTTATATTTAATATAAATAAATATTTTGGATTTGTGATTAATAAATGACTAATTTGACTTTTTTTCCTTCCAACATTATTTTTTCTTGAGTTGTGATAGTTAAAAATATATCTTTGTATAATTGAACAATTGCAATGATTCATTATTGTATCCATGAAATTATATACTGTCTTTGAACCAATGCATTATATATTTACAATAATGCAATAGTACTAATATTATACCAATTTCCAAATAATCATATATATATATATATATATATATATATATTATTTAAGCAAAATAATTTATATTTCTACATATATTGAATGCTTGCAAGACTTAACACAATCAATAGTGCATTAAGTACTACAATACAATTTATCACATATCTAAACTCTAAAAAAAAAAAAAATTTAAAAAAACCTTGAAGTTTCTTTGTTGGTGTTTTTAAAGTCTAAAACTTTCCTATGGAACATATTCTATCCTATTTTTGCTATAATGCTACTACTAATTACTAAAATAATTTTTACTAATATGATTTTGTCAAATCTATTTATTATATTCTCTTGTTGTTATAGATATATACCTACTATAATCATTATTTAAGTAGATAGAATTAGATAAAAATAGATTAATTTCATATTATCTTCTAAAAAAGCTTTTTAGAAGTTTCATAGATATTGTTTTGACTTTACATATGTTTGTAGTTGATTGGTAGGTTAGAAACTTGATCAACAAGCTATCCATGTGCTACATGTGTTGGTAGCTTGTGGAACAAGCTAACTATGTGGTAGCCATATAAAAAACTTACCTTGTAAATCAAGATATATGTCATGCATAGTCAATACATTTTTCGAAGTCCTATAGAATATTGCCACATAAATCTTAGATAGATAGTATATATAGAAGCAAGAGTGAAGCCTTCTTTATTCTTGTCAATCACTTTCTTGTTTCTAGTCTAGATTCAAGAGTCTCTAGTTTTCTTGTCTTTTGGCAATAACCATTCAATTTTTTTTTAATATACATACTACTTTATTTTTATTTTGTTACTTTTTTTTTGACACCGATTTCTCAGGTTTATGCAACTTCTTCCAATTCATGTCCTTGATAGACTAACAAGAGTACATTTATAATACTAGAGCTTTGATCCATTATAGAGATTATCATGCAATTTGTGTTGCAAGTAATAAAATTCATATCTTGTAATAAGACAATCGATCAATGACATCATATGCTTCAAAATTTTGACAACTAATGACTAATGTCAAGTAAGATGATGCTTTCCTTATCAGCCAATTTTTCTATGAATTACAATATGAGATAAACAAATTGATGCTCAACTTACTTGATCCTCAGACATTAAGTCAAGCAATTGATTTTACTATGAAGTATGACAATTGGATTTTTTGAGTTTCAATCTTAAAATTACGCAAGAGAACTTTCATGCTATTACAATTCAATGACAACAGTGATGACCTCTCAATCTAAACATCTGGAAGTAAATACATGCAAATTGATGGGATACATTTTAAATCTCTTACTGAACAAGAAAATACTCTTTGTTGTTAAGAAGGACTATGTTTATATTATAGGAAAGCTAAGCACACTACTTAACATTGTCCAAAGAAATGACGCCATTACAAAATGAGGAATACGGCTATCAAAGATGAAAAAATGTCAGAAAATAAATTTATCCAATTACAATATGGACTGTGTGGCTAGAATCTTGTACAAATGAAGATCCTATCCTCTCCTCAAAATCCTCCCTTTTTTTTTATAATAGATGTGTATTTAGTATCTCATAATCACAAAGCCTTTGCTTTAATAAATTCAAGAGCCTGAGCTTGTTTCTTAGATGAAGAGTTTATTAAAAGCCATAGAATATGGTTAGTATAAAAAACTAAATCCGTATATGTAGAAGTTATAGATAGAAATCTATTATCTTTTAGAGCTATTATTCATAAAATACTTCTTATAGATGTAACAATAAATAGTCATAATATTTGCGTAATTTTTAATATAATTAGGTCTCTTTTTAATTTGATCATTTTAGGTTTATCGTGGTTAGAAAAGTATAATCCTATGATAGATTGGAATTGTCGTAAACTTGACTTTCCTCAGAGCATTATTAGAAGTTTTGTAAAAATTCATGAGTCTAGTATAGCCAAATCCATATTTGCAGGTACAAAAGCTTTCTTGTATGGTGCAAAAGAAAGATTATCCTTTGTTATTTATGCCACACCCATTTTTAATGATGAAAAGACTTTAAGTGATATTCCAAGTCAATAGCAAGATTTTAAAGATATTTTTGATAAGAAAATGTAAATATTCTGTTTGAGCATCATCCATATGATTGCTCAATCAACCTTTTAGAAAGAAGTCAGCCATCATTTGGTCCAATTTACAATTTATCACAAAATGAATTGATTGAACTCAAGAAATATATTAACAAGAACTTGGCTAAAATTTTTATATGTCATTCAAAATGTACTCCTGGAGCACCTATCTTATTTATAAAGAAAGAAGATGAATCACTATAAATTTGCATAGATTATTGAGGACTCAATAAGATTACCATAAAAAATAGGTACCTTTTTTCTTGATATTTGGACTTCTTGATCAACTAAATCAAACTAAGATCTATACAAAAATAGATTTATAAGGAGTGTATAACTTGGTCTATATTTAAGAAGGAGATAAATAGAAGACTATATTTTGAATAAGGTATGGACACTTTCAATATAATGTCATGTCTTTTGGACTCATAAATATATGAGCTACTTTTCAACATCTTATGAATGATTTTTTTTGTGAGTTTTATGATGATTTTATTGTTTGTTAGTATAATGACATTTTAATCTATTCTAAAGACACAGAAGAGTATGAAATTCATGTTTTTCATGTGTTATAAAAATTTAGAGATGTGGAATTATTTGCCAATTTAAAAAAGTGTGTATTCCACACTACTCAAGTTGACTTTTTAGGATATGTCATCTCCAACAAAGAACTTATGATGGATCCGAAGAATGTTCAAACTATTATAGATTGAAAGATTTCAAAAACAGTAAGAGATGTGCAAAACTTTTTGCGCTTTGTTAATTACCATCGAATCTTTAGTAAGAATTTTTCTTAAATTATGGCTTTTTTTACAAGTCTTTTATGCAAAGACAAACTTAATTGGAGCAAAGAAGTTGAAGCATTTTTTGAAGCCTTAAAGTTGATATTTATTTTTGTACCAATCTTATATAGCATTGACTTTTAGAAGGTATTTTTTATAGAAATAAATGTATCAAACTTTGCTATGAGTGTTGTTTTGCAACAAATAGGAGAAGATGATAAGCTCCAGTCAATAGCTTTCCATTCCAAAAAAATTCTGATAGTTGAGATTAACTATGAGATCCACAATAAAGAACTTTTTGTAATTATGGATTCTTTTCAAGAATGGCATCATTATCTAGAAGGCACTTCTAAAGCAATCATTATATATTTGGATTATAAGAACTTCAAGTATTTCATGTCCGCATGTATTTTGATTTATTGCCAAACTCATTCGAACATGTCTTTGTCAAGATTTGAGTTTAATATCACTTTATGGCTATAAAAATAATAAGGTTTGTCCGATACTCTTTCTAGACATTCTTATCTTGCATCTAAAGAAGGAAATGTAGCTTTTGATCAATAAAAGATAATTTTATTGAAGCCAAAATAA